CCCCCTGTCCCCTGCAGGACGAGGAGGCTCTCGAGGAGCTCCAGGAGGAGGAGGTCGAGGATCCAGAGAGGACTTCGATAATCAGGACGGAGGTCAGCAGAGCTGGAGGAATAAACTACATCCTTTCCTCTCTCCTCTCCTCTCATCTCCTCTCCTCTCCTCTCTCCTCTCTCCTCTCTCCTCTCTCCTCTCTATAGTATAAAACTTAAACTACATCAATACACCGAAAGCTAAGCTAAAGTTTAAAGTGAAACAGACCCTGTTGACCTTTGACCCCACAGTTTGGTTCCGCCTCTTGAAGCTGCTGGACCACTCCCTGGTGTAATTTTGTTATTCCCAGCATGCCTTTCACCATCTCATGCTCATTGGTCACCTGACAGGTCCCGGCACCGCAGGAACACCTGAGGCCGTCCGACTGTAACTCAGCTGTCTGTAACTCAGCTGTCTGTAACTCACCTGTCTGTAACTCACCTGTCTGTCTGTTTCTAGGTTTCAGAGGAGATGACGACTTCATGGGTGGGCGGAGTCGGGGTACCGGTCGCCCCGGTGACAGGAGGGGGGCCCCGGGGGGTCCTGGTGGTCCTGGGGGGCCAGCTCGCTTCAGAGAGGGAGCTCCCCCCCGCGGAGGAGGAGGAGGGCCGGACCCAGACTTCAGGGAACCGTCTGAAGGTGACATCACTTCCTGTCTGTGTCCGTGTGATTCTGAAATCAGCGATCTAGTTCGATACGTCTTGAATGAGGGATTTCATTGAGTGATTCTCAAATCAGTGTTTTTAGTTTACTCCACGTCTTACGGGGTTCTTACGGTCATTAAAAACCTGGAAAAGTCTTGGAAATTCAAAATGCAAATTCCAGGTCCTGGAAAAGTTATGGAAATGTAACAAAAGTGATCTAATAGCCGAAATAGTAATACTATAGTGATAATACAAACTGTATCGTTTAGTAATGAAACCTAAAATGGCTTTTAACTGTCGAGGTGTTTTGCTGGTGAGAGATTTTAGTTTCTTTAGCGTGTAGAAGCTAGCAAGTCTACTATTTGATTTAGATTGGCACAACATGTTTCAGACCTTAGTTTCCTGTCCCATGTTCAAATAAACCATTTTCAGTGGTACCGCTGAGAAAGAGTCATTGTTTTGGTCATTATTAGGTAAAAGTCATTGAAAATCACAAGTGTATGAACCCTGGTTTTACCTCTGGGTTTTCTCTCCGTGTTCTCTCTCCGTGTTCTCTCTCTGGGTTTTCTCTCCGTGTTTTACCTCTGTGTTTTCTCTCCGTGTTCTCTCTCCGTGTTCTCTCTCCGTGTTTTCTCTCCGTGTTCTCTCTCCGTGTTCTCTCTCCGTGTTCTCTCTCCGTGTTCTCTCTCCGTGTTCTCTCTCCGTGTTCTCTCTCCGTGTTCTCTCTCCGTGTTCTCTCTCCGTGTTCTCTCTCCGTGTTCTCTCTCTGGGTTTTCTCTCCGTGTTCTCTCTCCGTGTTCTCTCTCCGTGTTCTCTCTCCGTGTTCTCTCTCCGTGTTCTCTCTCCGTGTTTTACCTCTGGGTTCTCTCTCCGTGTTTTCTCTCCGTGTTCTCTCTCCGTGTTCTCTCTCCGTGTTCTCTCTCCGTGTTTTCTCTCCGTGTTCTCTCTCCGTGTTTTACCTCTGGGATTTCTCCGTGTTTTACCTTCGTGTTCTCTCTCCATGTTTTGCAGAGGAGCGAGCACAGCGCCCTCGGCTGCAGCTGAAGCCTCGCACCGTCGGCGTGCCGCTGAACCAGGTCGCCAACCCCGAGTCGGCCATCTTTGGAGGAGCGAAGCCGCGAGAGGAGGTGATGCCCAAAGACATCCAATAAAAGAGACTGAGGGTTGGGGGAGACAGAGAACTTTAACACGGGGGAAAGATAAACGCCGAGTTAGCATTCCTTCCTCCTCTTCCTCCTCTTCTTCTTCTTCACTGATGAATTATAATAACCCTAAACACAGCAAGCAGCTCGTGATGCATGTCTGAACTTTGTGTTTTTCTGCCCCCTCGCCACCGCTTACTGTGATGTCACGTCCTGTGGCCCCGCCCACTTTTTCTCCCCGAAGGCGTTTAATCCGTAGTTATTTCGCTCACCTTCTTCTGGACGCTTCCTTTTCGTCTTCCTGTCGTCACAGGCGGGCGGGGTTTAATTGGCATCGGGACAGAATCCATGATTGAGTTTTCAGAAAAAGACAATTAATATTATTAGTATGATACCGTTAGTGATTAAGAAACGTTTTTAGTTTTTACACCAAGGCCTGTTCCTGTTTTAACTTAACAACACCATGAAGTACACTTATAGGGTCAACATACGGTTAAATCAGTTGCATTTATTTGTTTGTTTAAGTAGGATGGTTCACATCTTTCTGGAGAACAACATGTAGTTTAGATCGATGATGTGCTGAAATGTAACGCCAGATATTCGGACACCTCAACTAAAGCTTTTGAATGTAAGAGAAATGTAAAATATTTCGTCTGTCAGGGAATGTTTTATTATGTCCCACACACCCTGAAGGCAGCGCAGGTTAAAGGTAGCAGCGAGGGGGCGTGGCCTGCAGTTACGACTCCTCTGATCAGTCAACACTAAAATGGATGAATGCTTCTTTCTTTGCTTTTTCTAATCAACCCCCGATTTGTATTTCTTCCCCCTTTAAACATGTTTTGCTTTTTTACTCAGACAAAACTTAGCGACTTTAAAGCAAAACAAATGTTTCTTTAATCATTAATTTATGTGTTTATCTATCTTAATGTGCACCTTTTTAATTAACCTGGTTCACTGCTAACAAAATAAACGTTTTAGCTGTGATTTAATTGCGACAAACGCAGGAACAGGATGCAGGAATCACTTTGTAAAAAGAATTTGTGTTTGTCAAGAAAAGTAGTTAAAACACGTCTGCATGGAGTTTGGTGGATCAGGGCTAAGCTAACGTGTTAGCCTCTTCATTCACACTCAAAGAATTATTCGGAAGAGAATCGCTCGTTAAATCTTATTTTATATGTTTATAAGTCTTTT